TTAAAATATAGCATATTGTTATCAACCATATTTATCATGCTCTCAGTAGACCTCAAGACTTCACAGAGTCCATGCCTCTTGTCCAACTGCAGTTTTATATCCTTAAACCACTCGTTTCCCCATTGTTAAAAGACCCACATTGAAGCCTAATAGCCACAATTCTGCTCTCTGTTCCTATAAGTTCATCATTTCTAGGTTACACATAAAATTGAAATTGTGTGACATTTGTCTTCCAGTGTGTCACTTAATTTTTTTTGTCAAGCATATAACTTTACTACTTTCTAAAGATGAAATCAAATTTGCATGCACAGGTGAGCACTCACTGAAACACCTTGGATTCATCACATATTTGAGTTTCAATTAGCATATATATTGTCTTTTTTGAACCCCACTTTTTAATTTCATTGTATGGTGTTTTGGTGGCTAGCTTCTTGAGTTCCTTGTATATTTTGGAAATCAGCCCTCTGTCAGATGTGGGGTTGGTGAAGATCTTTTCCCATTCTGTGGGCTGTCGATTTGTCTTACTGACTGTGTCCTTTGCCTTGTAGAAGCTTCTTAGTTTCAGGAGGTCCCATTTATTAATTGCAGATCTCAATGTCTGTGCTAGTGGTGTAATATTCAGGAAGCAGTCTCCTGTGCCAGTTCCATGTATAGGTTTAGCATCTGTCAAAAATAAGGTGTGTGGGTTAATATCAGTGTTTTCAATTCCATTCCATGTCTATTTTTGTGCCAATACCAAGCTGTTTTCAGAACTATGGCTCTATAATAGAACTTGAAGTCAGGGATGGTGATGCCTCTAGAAGATCCTTTATTGTACAGAGTTGTTTTGGCTATTCTGGGTTTTTTGTCTTTCCATATAAAGTTGTGTATTGTTCTTTCAAGGTCTGTGAAGAACTGTGTTGGGATTTTGATGGGGATTGCATTGAATCTGTAGATTACTTTGATCAAGATTGCCATTTTTACTATGTTGATTCTACCTATCCAAGAGCATGGGAGATCTTTCCATTTTCTGGTATCTTTAATTTCTTTCTTTAAAGACTCAAAGTTCTTACTATACAGGTCTTTCACTTTTTTGGTTAGTGTTACCCCAAGATCTTTTCTGTTGCTTGTGGATACTGTGAAGGGTGATGTTTCTCTGATTTCTTTCTCATTGGATTTATCATCTGTATATAGTAGGGCTACTGATATTTTTGAGATAATTTTATATCCTACTACTTTGCTGAAGGTGTTTATCAGCTGTAGGAGAGTTTTTTTTGTAGAGTTTTTCAGGTCACTTATGTAGACTATCGTATCATCTGCAAACAGTGAAAGTTTGACTTC